ATTAAATAATTCACGCTATTTTGTACATTATGGTCACAGATTAGCCTACGAGCGTCTAGATTATCGACCTTGTACTCTGCTAATAATACCTAGGTCATGGAGATGACCTATAGGTGGACAAATGGATTTTATTTGATTTAAAATAAACGTGGTTTAAAAATTTTCTACAGTTTCGTGTATACTTCTAATTGGATACCAAACCGAAGAACTGGATTCCAGTTTAGAACGTGCAAAAGAAAAATAGAGGTAAAGCAATCCATCGATTGACTAAAATTCTCTCAAATTGTATAAAATAAAACCTATATTTTAGCAGTAGTAATGATTGTATAAATATTATTTAAATTTAAATGAAAGTCTAGGAGCTGAGGAAGGACAGAGCAATGTACTATGCTTTAGGGAAAATGATAAAATATTGACCATTTTAATGTTCAAATTGAGACGATTCAAGTCATTAAATCGTTCTAAGTTATCCTGTCACAATTCAGTGTGCATCCGCATATAGTACTTAGCATCAAGACAAGATCCACCGTTAATATAAATAATAAATAACAAAAGATCCAAAATTGTACCCTGAGGAATTACAGATAAGGTACCAAATTCTGTCGATTTAAATCCTTGACACTGAACAAACTGTAATCTAGTCAATTTAAATTAAATAAAAATTTAATGTAAAAGAAAATATTAGTATTATAAAAAGTTCTCAAAGTTGGTAAAGTAAATTGGCTGGTTAAGGTCTCTTTATGGTATTTAGGAAAGAAAGTCTCCCACAAGCTACTTCTATTTATAAAATTTGGCCAAAGTTTCAGAATCTACAATGTAAAGATGAGGTGAATATGTAGATCCCGAAATTAGTAGTCAAATTTTGTTAATAAAAAAGGAATGTGAGGGATTTGAGATTCTCTTTCAGAAAACCTAACAGCATGTTGCGTCATTAGTATAAATTGCACCTACATGAATGAGTGCCCGAGATGGAACCTTGCGGTAGCCCACAGTGGGCAATTTAAGAAAGACATTATAAAGAGAACTGTAGTCGTAAATTTTCTTCTTCAAATCAATTATTTTTTGAATATTTGATAAAGGTATCAAACGCAGATTTAATTTTAATATCTACAAAATAAATCAATCTATTTTAACTACTTTTTTTATGTTATAGAAAAAATATTCTATGGAAAAACGTACATTTTGTCATGGTTTTTCTCACGACCATCTACAGATCTAAAAGTGAAATCGCTCCCATCAGCCGAAGGCGAGTCCTAAAAGGGAATGCCGTATTGATTCTTGCGTCAAGTATACAAAAAATACCAGCTACACGCTGTTCATTTGGAGTGGCCTCTATGTGTGTTCATTGCGGCACAATGGAATGAAGACATCTCGAGCGGGATGATCCGTCAAATACCCCGCACGCAGCGTCGTATGACAAAGCCTGGCTGGCTTTCGCCTTTGTCGTTTTGGTTGTAATGGATTCGTCGGGCGTAAGCGAGTACCGACAGGGACGGGGGAGTGGGGATTTTGATTGTAGGTTTCTATTTTGCACAGAGAAATTGTCACAGTTACAAGTATTTTTGTACAATTCTAAAATAAATCTATTATTACTTTTATCGCAGTAAAATGTAAAAATATTGTATTGTATTCTAGAATTTATACCAACCTCTGAGTTAGTAGTAGAAATTAATATGCAGGGTGCCCCAAGAAGACCCGAACGCCCCGATATCTTTTTAGTATTCTTCTTTTTAGTAGTTTCATAAAAAAAGATTCAGATAAATGATGTAGGATATCAAGAAACCAATATTCTGGTGACCTCTCTCAAGTTTCAAGGCTAAACCAAGATCTAGTTGACAATATTAAACGGAACCGACCATTTGTTTTACAATTATTACACATAGATATTGAGCAAGAAAACGTTTTCTCACATTTTATTTGGAACGAGTTATTGTTGAGTTACTGTTTCAAGCTAAAGCTACGTTTCCTCGCAGTTGATTAAATCAACAGTAACTGTAAAACTACTTACTCATTTCAAAGAGAAAATATACAAGGTGCCTGGTAAACAATGAGGAACATATTTCTGTATTGATAATACCCTGGCACAGTTTTGCTTATTTAAAAAGTTACGGGCTCTCAAAGAAATATCTTTAGTTTAATTAATTTGCAATAACTCCAAAATTTTATTGAAGGCATTTTAATGAAATTATTATGGAGTGTTTGTGATAGCTGATGATGATGGAGTGTTTGTGATAGCCAAATGTGAAGCTTATTTTTCCCTTAAAACAGTTTTTTGCTATACATTTCTTTTGGTGGTAGAGACTTTGAGGAAACACAGTGTTTTTTGAAATGCCACTTAACTAGCTGTAAATTAAGTACACGCAGTTCTTAAGAAAAAAGATTTCAATAATCACCATTTGAATATTTGGGAATATTCTAGTACTTATAACTAAACTTTATTTGTTTGCTCACTAAATAAATAATTTTTATGAGTTAGACCACTTCTCTTAAAAAGTCAATTTCTACTGCGATATGAACCTCTGAATAAAGTATAACGAATCTACAAATTTTAAGTTTTTAAGAAGTTTTACTAATTTTTAATAATGATTTTTGGAATTATTTATAACAATATTTTATTTAAAGATGCATATATAATAAAACATTTCTACAGTTTTTTTTCTAATAAACAAAAGAATACCGTAACATTTTATTCTAATTAAAAAATAATAATTTTAAAGCTTGGTTCTTTTTCGAAAAGAAGAGATACTTTTTCTTATAAAGCATTAAAAATGCACTGATTTTCAAACTTTCGAATTACTTGGTGGCGTCGAAATTGCGAGGTTCAGAGAGCATTGCACAGTACCTCTACCACTGATTAACATAATTCAATGAGTGAATATTTGTTTTTATTTAGTCACTAACGCTTAAGTTTCACCACCTACTTCAAATATCTTCAGATATATTATTTGCGCAGGTAAATATTAGGTATATTTTTCGAAAACTATAGTACCGTGTATGTCCAAAATTAAGCTATTCAGGATATAAGTTTATATAGATACACTTTTCTTCTTAAAATTACCGAAAGTATCAATTATTGAAATATTTCTTCCTACTTAAATAGGTGTATGTGTATATTTTCTTTGACAAATTTGTATGCACGGCACTGGCCCCTTCTTTCCTCCGCAGACAGCAATCTCTCGTGCACGTTGTTTTCTTTTCATCCGTTACACAACAGTTTTGTCTCTATTGTTCCATTGTGCACGATACTATTTACCTCGGTATTTGCTTTATCGTACAATCTAAAAGGTATTTGTGTTGCTCTTTCCAAGGCCTACATGCAATCTCCTTTTACTCTCTCGAGCCTGTAAACAGATAGGGCTTGCCTCGAAGCCAATTGATGCTCGACGTACCTGTTGTTTGATGCCTGTGTGTATTTTTATATATATAAAACTTTAAGTACCTACTCGAAAGTAGGTACCAACAAGATATGATATTTTTATATTGTACCTCGTTAATCTCAAACAAATTGTTTTCAAATATTATAGTTACTCATTAGAAGAAAGCTAGAAAATGTAAAAAAATAGAATGGAGCATCGTTTGTAGGATTAACTATAAGTAGACAAATTTTTGACATTCTTTTGACTATCTTGTACAGTTTCAATATTTGTTTTCGAATTATCTTAACACTTTTGATATCTTTGTACATTTTCAATATTTCAGACTTGCGATCCGCGATTAGAGAAGAATTTTTAAAATAATTTAGAATCGATTATCAAGTCAATAAATTATAAAACTTCTAGTTAACATTTAAAACATACTTAGGTATTTATCCATAAAAATAAATTGGTGGCGGCACCTTTGTACGAAAATACAATTCGACATGAGATATGTCCTAATTTTCTTCTAATGACGGTCTATCGGTTGTTCAAGTTGCGCCATTAAAAGTATCAATCACACTAGATAATTCTAACAGATGTAACAGTTTAAGAACAGAGTAAACGGGTCATAAATTCGTATAAAAACGAACGTTCCAATTAATTTTTTATTTAATAATGATGTCAAATTAATTAATGCATAATACTGAATTGGAAAATAATGGAATAATCTGGAGAAATTAACTATTTTTGTAGTATTAAAGATGTTTTATTGTTTGGTATAATTTTACGATCGACAGATGTTTAAATCAAATGTATTTTAAACAAATTTTCATAGAGTTTAAGTAAAGTGCATTTTTAGGAAGATAGCATAGTCAAGCAATACATGTTTAAGTATACTTTTACAATATTTTCAACTACAAACACAGAGGTTGATGCAAATTGTAGAAATCAATAATAAAATATTTTTTGTGGAATTATATGAATATACCTTCTATACCTTTCAATTGTGACAGTTTTTTTACGCAATCGGATCACAATATAGTAATTTTTTTAAGGCGTTTCTCCACGTTAATTGTTACGAAGAACAGGAACAATATAATGTCTTAGATAGGTATCTGTTCATATTTAATAAAATAAACTAAATTTGTTACTACGAAAATTGCGTTTAAGAATCGTATCTAAACCAACAACATTTGTAATTCTGTATCAAATAAATACGTCTACACGATGGAACAAATCACAATTGCTTATTCAGAAACAGAACAAGATAAGTAACAAATTAAACTAGCACCCCTAGAAACTAATACCCATTATCCACTGAGTTATACTCATCCGATACGTATCATAAAACATAAAGGTACGTACACACCGACAGAATAGACTTTATCATTAAACTAGGAAACAAACGGCGTGGAGGAAGACACCATGGAATCGCAACCCACTCTAACCCGACGTCCGTCAAGCCGCGATGTGACAGAAGGGAGGAGCCACGCACTCAACACGTCTCAACCGTCGGATCGATAACCATCTCTGCGCAGTTCAGCAGGAGATAATCCTTTGGGCGGAGTCCCAGGCCCCGCCCCCTTCGCGGCCCTGCCTCCTCTAACCGATCTCGCGGATTAGTAGACGGCCGACGGCGCGTTCATGATGTTGGTGCCGGCTGATATGTTGGCGGCCCAGTCCAAGATGCTGTACCAAATAAACAAATACTACGGGGAGAGGGTGCAGTCGAGGATGGCCACCATCGCCAAAACCATCCGCGAGGTGTGCAAGGTGGTGCAGGACGTCCTGAAAGAAGTCGAAGTGCAGGAACCGCGCTTCATATCTTCCTTAACCGAGTGCAACGGGAGGTACGAGGGACTGGAGGTCATCTCCCCGGTGGAGTTCGAGGTTGTGCTGTACTTGAACCAGATGGGTGTGTTCAATTTCGTTGATGACGGCACTTTGCCCGGTTGTGCGGTGTTGAAACTCAGCGACGGCAGGAAGAGGTCCATGTCTTTGTGGGTTGAGTTTATAACCGCCTCGGGGTATTTATCAGCCAGGAAGATCAGGTCGAGGTTCCAGACCTTGGTAGCTCAAGCCTGTGATAAATGTTCGTACAGGGACTGTGTGAAGATGATAGCGGACACTACCGAAGTTAAGTTAAGGATACGGGAGAGGTACATAGTGCAGATAACGCCGGCGTTCAAATGCTCAGGGGTTTGGCCTAGGTCGGGAGCACACTGGCCTCTACCGCACATTCCTTGGCCGCATCCCAACTTAGTTGCGGAAGTGAAAACAGAAGGTTTTGATTTGTTGAGTAAGGAAAGTGTCGCTGTTCAAGGCAAGCAATCCGCTATGGAGGGCGACGCTTGGGTGCTGTCTTTCCTCGAAGCGGAGAATCGTCTTCTTCAAGGAGGTTGTAGGAAGAGGTGCCTCAGCATTTTGAAAACACTAAGAGACCGACACCTTGATCTGCCTGGCAATCCAGTTAGCAGTTACCACTTGAAGACTCTTTTGCTGTATGAGTGCGAAAAACATCCCAGGGAAAGCGAATGGGACGAGTCCTGCATCGGAGACAGGATCAACGGGATTTTCCTGCAACTGATCTCCTGCTTGCAGTGCAGGAGGTGTCCGCACTACTTCTTGCCCAATTTGGACTTGTTCAAGGGCAAATCTCCTAGTGCTTTGGAGAATGCTGCGAAGCAAGTGTGGAGGTTGACCAGGGAGATGTTAACCAACACCAGATGCTTAGAAAAACTTTAGAATTTGACTGATTTAACTTATTTTATAACGTGATATTCTAAACGTTTATTTGTTTCGCGTTTTGTAATAAATGTTCTCTTATATTGTTATGAATGTCGGTAACAGCAACGAAAAATCTTGAATGATCTCATGAACTCGCCCCCCATAGTGAGATGTAGGAGTACTTTAACCCGTTTTAGTGCCATAAGTTCGCAAACGTGCCGATTATCTATAGGCGCTCGTGATTGAATGTCGTTTTTTTCGCTGAAGATTATAATAAATTATACCTAATTATATTAGGATTGTATATACCTACATTCAAACCTGTACTGTGTAAATATATAAATTTTTAATTTAAGTAGTCATTTATCTGTACTGTTTTAGAGACGAGACGCTTTAAATTGTTTTATATTTACAATTTTGTATGTAAATATTTCATTTTTTTTGTAAAAGACTGTTGTTGGTAATAGTTGTTGCGTGAAATATTTGTTTTTTATGTACATATATAATAAATATTATTTATTCACTGGCTTATTTAAATGTTAATACTATTTTATATTTCCGTTCCCAAATGCCAAATTTTATATTTAAATCACATATAAATGGTCTGCATCGTTTACGGTCGATAAATAGAACAATATTTCGAACAAAAAAATGTTAATGTTCTTTATTACAAACTATTATAACTCAAACTGGAATTTGTTTTTGCAAAATGTCAATTAAATGAAAATATTTGAAATAATTAAGGCAGAACACTGTTTATAACTGATGAAGAAGAGAGGGGAAAAACATTATACAAAAGTTAATATTCAAATTCAATAAAGAAACAGCCATGGATCGATCTTAAATGAATAAAAATATATTTTTTTCAAATTAATCACAAAAACAAACTGATGATAATAATAGTAGATAGGTGTCTAGGCATCTATAGAAAAAATCCTCTGATAATAATTAACGACGCTGACACAGAAATGTGAACATAAAGAAAGATCATTGAACAATCATGGTTCTGGAATATGATTGTCATTGTTCATGAAATTGTATTTTTAAGAAGGTATTGCAGCAAGTATACCTGTTAAGTTAGTATAAAAATGAGTGTAATATTAAGTACCTATTAAAAATGAATGTACTGTTCGTATTGGTACTCTCTAATTTTTGAACTATTACAGCAAAAAATGTTCATTAACATACTACATTTTATCCATAAATGAAATCCAGAAGCGTTAAAGCATGACGATATATCCTGTACAAGCTATTTGTACTAGTCAAATAAAGATAGGTATTAAACAAATTTCCAGTATCTCATTTATAAATAAAACGAATACTTATTTACCGATTATATTCGCTACTTACTCTAAGTAGGAAGGTATTATTCATGAATTTGTATAAAATTCTGCTTGCAGTTTAAGTGTCTACATAATTACTTTAATTACTGCATATTAGAATACCAACATTTACATTTACATTTTTTTTAATAAGAACAAATAAAGTTCATTTTTTTATTTTGTTACATGCATGTACATACTTAGAGTACTTATATAAATTTCAGTTAATTGTTAAGTAATTAAGTATACCTATCTAAATGGAAGGTATAGGTAGGTATACGAGTACCTATATAGAGAAATGGAATTATTTTAAACTTGTTTTTAACAGTGGACAGTAGATTTTTATCTACTATATGTATAATAAGTTTCGAATGTAATAATAATAATAATAGTAATAGTTTCTTCATGCACGAAAGCAATAATAATATGAATGAAAAATATATGGGTATGTAAGAACCGAACGACATTCTGTTTTGCAATTTTCAGTAGTTTCTTACTAGATATTTATTTGAAACAGAAATTAATTTTATATTTCCTATATTCATCAGCTATTTTAAATTGTGTAGGTACCTACAAGACTACCTACTACACTGTAGTACCTACAAACCTACAAGATTTCTAATTATTAAATGATATACCTAATATATATTTAGGTATACAAAGTGAAACATAATTTATAAGGTAATTACACGTATCCATTATTTCTATATCCAGCTAGATATTAAACAAAATTATATGTCTGTACACCGATAAATTATGATGAACTAGTATACCTACACGTACAGGTAATAATAGCTTAATTAAACTTATACCTATACTTCAAATTATTTCATAGCGTCATGGCAAATTTATTATTGAATTTAAGAAAATAATTTCTGACTTTATACATCAACGGGCATAGGTACATTTTTTGAACGATAGAATCTGAATAATGAGTTACTGTCTTCTTTCATTTATTGTATATTAAGCTTAATCCACTAGTTTTGTTCACTGTTTTTAGTTAATGATGCCTTTTCTTTTGTTCTATATTTCAAGAAAATCTGTTAAGATGTAACTTTCACCTACAATAACACTTTTGAATACCTACGTTAAAATAATTTCATTCCGTTCGTTAAGTCAAGCAAATATTTGTATCATGCCTATTTGAGAAAACTTAATTCTTAATTATTATACCTATTGGTACTCGTATAAGCTCATAATAATGTAAAAAGTCACTTGCTAGGTAGTAACATAACAAAAACTCAGATATGAGTAAAATTTGTCAATTCTGCCTTAACGATCTCACTCATAAAATTGTTATTGTACTCATATTAATACAGTGAAAATTATACTCAATCTGGTGTGCGATGAAAGTGAAATTTAATTATATTTTTACAGTGTAACAGTGTATGATACTCTGCTTTTTGGTTTATTATAAGTTTTTATAATGTAACCATTTTAAAAACTACTCAATTTTTTATAGGTAGATATAGCTTCATATCATAAGTAATTCTAAAGATAATTTTTCTTTGTAAAGCTCATTACAACAGTTTTCACTTATTAAGAGGCGTAAAAAGTACATAAAGAAAATTGAATTTTGTTGTTTCAAATGATGAAATGTTGAAGATTTTTAGTTCATTGGCAAAATCGTCAAAGAAAGAAAGAAAGAAAATTGATTCAATAAGTTGAGTTGTTACAATTTCTTGCAACAATTCATTTAGATGGTTTTGATTCCTAAGAAAACATATTAGCAATAATCTTGCACCCATAATATTTACAAACATTTACTAAAGTATTTATTAGTTATAGTAAAAATCAGCAACAAATTTAGTATTTTCAAATATAATATCTAAATCTAAATCAATTAGAAATGCAAATGATGACTTCTCTCTACACTACGGTTTTTTTCCTAGGTAGATAATAAGCAACTTATTCACGTCATCGCACTAAAGCATGATTTGTGAAGTAGTCTAAAGGTAGTAAACAGGGTGTTTGGAAAAGTTAATACAAAATTTAAGGAGGTGAAAATAGAGCCAAAAATAGTAAAAAAAGTTCCTATAAACATTGGTCCTCCGGAGCACCGTTACTGAGATATGGCCCTCCAAAGGGGTCTTATCATTTGGATATTTTGTAAAATAACTTTCTTTCTGATTGAGATAATGGAGAGAAATTGTAGGTAATAATCATCCTATAAGGGTCTTTAACTGTCACAAGTTTTATCAAAATCGGTTTAAATAAGGATAGTTTTCTAACTACCCTTAACAGAAATTTTTCGAATTTTTTTATTCCTTTGAATTATAAAGCAAATATTATTTTTTAATGAATTACACTTTTTTAAAGAAAAAATGTCTAGTTTTATTTTTCGAATTCTACGTAGTTTAGTCAGGAATAATTATTTTTTAATAATGTATGACTCAAAACAGTAAAATTTTTTTAACATTTTCACATAGTAGGCATCTTTCATAGTGACAGTTTCGTTGTAATGATACTAATGATTGTCACTTTTGCGTGCTATCGTTTAAACTTTTACGTTTCTTTATCTTCTTAGTTGTGATCTTTGTGCTTGACTTTGCATTTCATTCGATTTTTCTACAACCATGAACCATCATGAGCAGTCGCTCTTCTCACACTCACAGCAGGATTACGTTAAAAAATCCTACAATTACTTCGTCTAAATCATGCCTACGCCTCCTTGGACGATCAAATTCACGATATCTTGGAGTTAGGCTTCCTGATTCCATCGCTCTTGCATGAATTTTCCCAAACAATCTAGCAGAGGTTAAAACGTTGCCGATACTCTTTTTGAGCCCCCAGACTATTTCCATTACAGAAACCGTAAATAAAATGAATGCATATTGGCATATTCACGGTTACTAAAAGCATGATGGTTCATGATTGTAAAATAATCTAATTAAATGCAACGTCAAGCAAAAAAAAATCTCAACTATGAAACGTAAGAATTTAAATGATAGCACGCGAAAGTGCCAATCATTAGTATCATTACAACGAAACTGTCACCATGAAAGATGAATTCTATGTGAGAATGTTAAAAAAAGTTACTGTTCTGAGCCATACATTATTTAAAAAATAATTATTTCTGACCAAACTACACAGAATTCGAAAAAAAATAGAAAAATTTTTTCTTAATCTAATTCATTAAAAAATAATATTATTTGCTTTAAAAAAAATTCGAAAAATGTCTGTTAAGGGTAGTTAAAAAACTATCTTTATTTATAGCCGATTTTGACTTATGACAGTTAAAGACCCTTATGGTATGATTATTACTTACAATTTTCATTCCATTATCTTAATCAGAAAGAAAGTTATTTTAAAAAATATCCAAATGATAAGACCCCTTTGGAGGGCCATATCGCAGTAACGGTGCTCCGGAGGACCAATGTTTATAGGAACTTTTTTTACTATTTTTGGCTCTACTTTCACCTCCTTAAATTTTGTACAAACTTTTCCAAACACCTTGTATAATATACAGGGTGGTCCAAATTTTAATAGACAAACTTCGGGAAAGTACTAAACAACAAAAATTAACATCACTTTGCTCTATGAACATAAGCGCAGAAAGCCACCGTTTATGAGATACAGGGCGTTGAAATTATCAAAAATAAAACAATTTTTTTAAATATCTGGAAAACCGCTTCATCAAATTTATCCAAATTTGGTACACATTTTTTTTCGAATATTTCTCCTAGTTCTGTATGCACACAGTCCAAAATCAAAAACCAGTGGCGGACAAGCGATATCATTTCCTTATTTAAAGTAAAACTTTTATGCCACCGAATTAATTGGTAAATATGAATACATTTTACAACCGTCTGAAACATTCCGGGTGCAAAAACATTCTTTTATTTTTGTCGAAAAATGAATGGTTTACGAGTTATAGGACATATTATGATGCGGTTTTCCAGATATTTAAAAAATATATTTTATTTTTGTTAATTTCAACGTCCTGTATGTCATAAATGGTAGCTTTCTGCGCCTATGTTCATAGAGCAAAGTGATGTTAATTTTTGTCATTTAAAACTTTCCCGAAGTTTGTCTATTAAAATCTGGACCACCCAAATTTGTTTTATTTTTCCCGATTTCAACGCTTTGTTTACTTGAATAATATGTCTCATAACTCATAAACCATTCACTTTTCGAGAAAAATAAAATAATGTTTTTTCACCCGGAATGTTTCAGACCATTATAAAATGTATTCATATTACCAATTAATTCAGTGGCGTAGAAGTTTTACTGTAAATAAGAAAACCATATCCTTGTTTCTCCGCCACTGGTCTTTGAATTAGGACTATGTGCATACAAAACTAGAGGAAATATTTGAAAAAAAAATGTGTACCAAATTTGGATAAATTTGATAAAGCTGTTTTCCAGATATTTTAAAAAATTGTTTTATTTATGTTAATTTAAACTCCCTGTATCTTATAAACGGTGGCTTTCTGCGCCTATGTTCATAGAGCAAAGTGATGTTAATTTTTGTTGTTTAGTAGTTTCCCGAAGTTTGTCTATTAAAATCTGGACCACCCTGTGTACAATACAATTTAAAATTTTCTTTCGTAAGATTGGCGCCTTCGCCAAAAGTGCAATTATTAAGAATTATTATTTACCCATGGGCGACGCTTAGTAAATAGGTAAGTATTCATTTTCTAAATATATTCAAGAAAGTCAAAGTCAATATACTGTTTAATGGTATTCTTCTAACATGCGTGTGTGATAAAAATGTAACAGGACAAGAGATAATTTTTTATTACAAATAATTTATTGCTGTTATTTTGTTTGTTTTTTTCAAACTATAAATAACATCCGTCAGTAAATCGTACATCCTTGGTTCGTACTTTATCTTCACATGGCATGATGAAAGACAGACATATTTGTAGAAGGTTAATTTTGTACACATCAACAATACGTGAAGAAACCGAACATTTTTTTTTATGGATAATTAGAAAATTTAAATGCAACAGTTTTACTAGGGACTTTAACCGATAATTGGTGAAAGTATCTGACATTTTATCGAAATTCGGATTAATAGCCAAATGTGTATTTGACATTACTAAATAAGTTTCAAGTTTTTTCATATTGAATGAAATTGATTTTTTGACGACGGGAATGAAAATTTAACCCGTGAACTCTTGTTTAGCTTCTTTAATATTGTCAATTACAAGTGCACACGATTGTATGTTCAGTGATATTTATTACCCCTCTTATTTTGTATATTACAAAATGGCTAATTAAAATATATAGTCTATAATTTATTCACAAATCGCAGACCTAGCAGGAAATTACGTATTCCGGTATTTTAATTTTGCCCCTCTTGGATTTCAGCTTATTTACAAAAATTATACATGAAGCGTTATTTGTAAACTTAGTATAGGTATTACAATTTCAACATCTGATATTATTATTTTGCCCCGAGCTGTTAAATCAAACAAAATGTATTTAATTTGAAATCTGCTGCTACTATTCGTGTATCATTTTTTCGTGATGTGGCTACAAAGTTGTTTCGGCAAGGTAGGTACATTGTAGGATGAATCAAGTCAATTTCTGTATCTTATTTTTAAAATTGAGTATGGAAAATATTAATTTTTCATTAAGCAAGAGTATTATATCTAAAATTTAATACTTGTGCTAAGTATATGAGAAAAAACTCGATGAGTTATTCCTTCTTTTCTAATATTTATTTATTTTTGCAATATTTGCAATTGATCTGAGACAAATATCACGTCTTTGTATTGATATCTGACTTTGTATTGATATAACTTCATCAAATTGTGGAAATTTTAAAATTCCCTTTTCTCTCGCCGGAGTATAATGATACTTTCGAATGCTTCCGTTTTGTTCCAAAGAGTAAAAAGTTAATATCATTATTAAGCAGAAATATTTCTGTATACGAGTTTAGTTAGCTATTAAATCTTAAAAAAGGTCTAAGTAGGACGACTTTTGCTTTCGAAGAAATTATTGTATGTCTTCTCCAAAGGACATCTTCCATCCGATGAAGAATAAGGTTATAGTCTGTTACATAACACTAAGTAAAGTGGAGAATTTAGAATCCTAGAAACAAATTTAGCTACACATTTTCTGGTGACGGATTTATATAGCAACTAGCACATTTATTATTGGTAGGTAATCTCCGCTAAACCACGACAACATGAAAGAAAAAAAAAAACTTTTATTCAAATTTTCAAAAAATAGTTTTATTTCTCTGCGTACCGGCGGTATGATCTTCCTTATTTGTGTTTCAGTTGCTATTAAGAAATAGGTACATATTAATTTGCTGTTATTCTTTCAGTGCTGAAAGTTAATTTGTTAAATATGTGAATCATGAAGTTATAGGCCCACTTCTACTTCTAATAAATCGGGAGTTATTAGACTGAAGTTCGACGATGTCTTTTTCGTTTATGCCTCTGAGCAGTGACTATAACAAGAATATAATTCTTGTTATAGTCACTGCTCTGAGAGTAAAGGTAACCCAGAGACAAGTACAATAAACTAAATTTAAAAGATGGGCTGCGGGACACCTTTGTTAAAATTCAATTTTCCTTTTCAAAAAAATAATGTGTACAGCGACGTATTTCTCACTTGTGCCATGTTCATAAGTTGGAGAGAAGTATCGATTTTATCACAAAATTTTTTTAGCATAAGTATCGCAAGGGACCTAAAATGGAAAAACTGGATAAATGGAAAATGGAAATGGACCTGTAAGAAAATGTGAAAAACATCTTTATTTGTCTACCAATTTCTCATTAATGCCAATTAGAAATATATCATTATTATATTCGAAAAGCTCATAAAAAACATTGGTATAAGTCCTACTAAGGACTAAAGAAAATAGGGCTTTGGAAAAGCTGCGGAAAATTTTTCGTTTTGGTCAACGTTTTTCTCGTGAATAAATTAAAGCTTATTGCAAAGAAAAAAGTGAAAGTATTCATTTTTTAAAGGGGATAAGTCCCCGCTGAGGACTATATGCTAAAAATTTTTTGAAAAATTGTAGGAAAATTCATGAACATTTTACATACGACGGTACCTTGTGGCATTCATGCCACTCTTGAAAGTGGCTTTTAATAATATTTTCTACTCGTGTACGAAACGGCATAAACGAAAAAATTGTGGTAATTTTCTATTATTTTTCTACTTTGTCGACCTGACTCGTATTAAAATTCAAATTAATTTACAACATGAAAATCCAGTGTAGACTTATGCCTACATTTATATGACTTTATAATGTAGTTTCCTACGTGCATGCAAAATGGCATAAGGGGAAAGACGTACAAATTTTCATGAATTTTTTGTACAACTTTGGGGCTTATTTATGCCTTCATATTGGACCCACAGAGGAGTTATGCCTACTTGGCACAGTACATTATTTATAGTATTATAAATTTTCAACGGCATAAATGAGAAAGTTATAGAATGAAAATACAAATTTTCCGCAGCTTTTCCAAAGCTCTATTTTCTTTAGTCCTTAGTAGGACCTATGCCAATGTTTTTTATGATCTTTTCGAATATAATAATGTCATATTTCTAATTGGCATTAATTAGAAATTGGTAGACAAATAAAGAAGTTTTTCACATTTTCTTACAAAGTTTTCCACTTTTAGGTCCCTTGCGACACTTATGCCAAGAAAATTTTGTGATAAAATCGATACTTCTCTTCAAATTATGAACATGGCTTAAGGTGGCCATATCCCTGGCCGAGAAATGGTGAAATTTCTGGCATTTTTAGGTACTGAAATCTTGAAAAATAAAACGTGTAGAACAAAAGTAAGCAGAAAAATAAAATCCTTGATGTTTTGTTTATTCATTGTTACCATTTAAATTTACCCAAATAAAATAATAACTAAAAAAAGCGTTTGTAAAACATGCGTTTTCTGTTATCTTAACCCCACATTTTAAGAACTATTTTCACGTACCTACTTATAAATAAAAGTAAACAATTTTATATGTAGGACTAAGCAAGTAAATGTTATAGGAATATTTACATGTGGAGTTATGTCTAAATAAGTTAGTATTTTCGTAGATTTCAGTACCTAAAACCTTGAGGGTTTGATCGTTTTTTGCACCTGTTTATTCGTTTTACTGCGGCGTCTTTGAAAATACTCAGGTGACATGACATAACATTCCTATTATTTGATAAGCTTTAGATTATTCAGTTATTAAATGTTTGAAATTATTTGCCTTTGCGGAAAACACTATTTAAAGAATATGGGGCCCTTAAGTGAGAAATACGTCGCTGTACACATTATTTTTTTGAAAAGGAAAATTGAATTTTCACAAAGGTGTCCCGCAGCCCATCTTTTAAATTTAGTTTATTGTACTTGTCTCTCGGTTACCTTTCAGTACTCTCGGAGGCATAAACGAGAAAGACGTCGTCGAACTTCAGTCTAATATCTCCCGGTCTATAACCATTTCGAGGAAATCCGGCAGCAGATTGATAAAGCGCCCCGTACATAGCGGCTCGGATAAAATCATTACCGCGACCGAGCCGCGCATGGAACGCTGCGCCCTCGCTTTTCCCGCACCGTATATCGCGATCCGTCAAAGAGCAAGCGGTGGCGGACGAACCGCGACCGCGAAGCCGTCACGCGACTATTGGGCGCGCGCGGTAGGCGTGTCGCCCTCTCGCTCCCCGCCTCCGATGGGAGGGGCGTTTCTCACCTGGCCCGCGCCCGCTATAGCCGTCTTTATACATTACAGTGTCGTTTCACGAGCCTCAGTCGATCCATCACAGTCAGCGTTGAGCCGCGTCTCACCGTATCAGATAAAGAAAGCGGCGGCGGTGGCGATCTAGCCCAAAAACCAACCCCCACCTGGCCCCCGGAGGAAGATATCACCATCACCGTGGCACCGGCGGAAAGTCGCGGCTCTAGTAGCCCTCAGGACGCCAAGATGCTTGTGCCACCGGACATGCTGGCGGCCCAGTCCAAGATGGTCTATCAACTCAACAAATACTACACCGAGAAGGTCCAGGCCAGGAAACTACAGACCTCCAAAACGATACAAGAAGTCTGCCGAGTTGTTCAAGACGTTCTGAAGGAAGTAGAAGTCCAAGAACCGCGCTTTATCTCATCCCTAACCGACTACAATGGAAGATACGACGGTTTGGAGGTGATATCCCCGGTGGAGTTCGAAGTGGTCATCTACCTGAACCAGATGGGTGTGTTGAACTTTGTGGACGACGGTACCTTACCCGGCTGCGCTGTTTTGAAGTTGAGCGACGGCAGGAAGCGGTCTATGTCTCTGTGGGTCGAGTTCATCACCGCTTCGGGATATCTGTCGGCCAGAAAGATGCGGTCCAGGTTCCAAACTTTGGTAGCTCAAGCCTGTGATAAGTGTTCATATAGAGACTCTGTTAAAATGATAGCTGACACCACTGAAGTGAAGTTAAGGATACGAGAGAGGTACATAGTGCAGATAACGCCAGCGTTCAAATGTGCAGGCCTTTGGCCTAGGAGTGCGGCGCATTGGCCTTTACCGCAGATCCCTTGGCCGCATCCGAATCTTGTAGTTGAAGTGAAAACTGAGGGATTTGACTTGTTGTCGAAGGAATGTATAGCTCTCCAAGGGAAGCAGTCTGCGATGGAAGGTGACGCTTGGGTGTTATCTTTCTTCGAAGCGGAGAATCGGCTCTTGCAGGGCGGTTGTAGACGGAGATGTCTCAGCATCCTGAAAACTCTCAGAGATAGACACTTGGATCTACCTGGCAACCCAGTTACAGGCTACCACATGAAGACTTTACTCTTGTACGAGTGCGAGAAACATCCTAGGGAAAGCGAATGGGATGAAGCCTGTATAGCCGACAGGATAAACGGGATATTCCTGCAACTAATTTCCTGCCTTCAGTGCAAAAGGTGTCCTCACTATTTCCTGCCCAATTTGGACTTGTTTAAAGGCAAATCGCCTAGTGCTTTAGAGAACGCCTCCAAACAGGTGTGGAGACTCACGAGGGAGATGTTGACGAATTCTAGGTGTTTTGATAAGTTGTAGTGTTGTTTTCTCTTTTTGTTAAATTTTGTAAGTATTTTTGAATATTGGAAAGTACGATTCATCCTTAACTCCAAATTTATAGGAAACTGTTAGTTAGGAAGTAGATAAAAGTGAGTACTTACTTTTAAATGAAATACAAGATATTTTACAAGTATTTTTGTTTCAATGTTTTGCGAGGAAAAACCAACCGGAGTAACAATTAAAACTAGGTGATTTCAAGTATTATTAGGGAAAATATCTATCAATTTTATTTAAAATTTCTAATATATTTGTCTATCGCAAAACATGTTTTAGTAAAAACGTTTATTTTTTTCATTTTTCCTGAATGTGATTAGAATACTTATTTTTGTTACTTAATATTAAAATTAAAGTCAACGTTTGACTCACGACTCTATTTTTCGAAACAAAGCGTTTTGGGACATGTATCAGTGTTGAAAAAAATTCGTTCTGTTTCTTTTGGGTTACATTACATATATCTTCGGAGCTAAGGATGGTTCTCTGTAATTTTAAGCTGTTTTCACGTGTTACATGGGACAAAAATAAGTAGTTGTCCGTTCTTGTAAAAATTATAATAAATAACGGATGGGTACCGCCCAAGGGGGTACCACGACGGGTAGTAGTGCGACGGTAAACGATTGTTTTAATGCTGGTACTATTTGTTATGCCCTTACTCAGCAGGAGCTCCGGGCCTTTCAAACCCGTCGCGTCGGGAAGCTGTAACTATTCACTATTTTTTTCTTTCAACTCAAGACTGTGATTCTCTAGTATAGACTGCTGTATGATTGTAATTAATTAGTAAGGTACGGTATTTTTGTAATATAAATGGAATTTTAAATATATTTATATTAGATGTGGATTTAGCCTTTCATTTGCCTCCCAGCAACCATAAAAATACTTGTAATATAAATTTTAAGTTGATTTGCAGGACTATTAAGAAAACCATTCAGATACCTACTATTTCAAACAAACAGTTTATGAGCAAAAAAGGTACGCCATTTCTTAAAACATATGCCTAATTATGTGGATGACCATTAACAAAATTATGAAGTGACAAAAGTTAACAAAACGTTGACATTACAAGTGTTCCTAGTTATTTTATCACGAAATAATTTTGTAATGACTAAAACGTGTATATGGAATACTAAGTACCTGTTTTATGTCATACTCTAGGCTAAAAATTGAGTCACATTTTTGTAGAAATATTTTATGTCCTATTCATTATATCTAAGTCACAATATTTCCGAAAAATTAAGCGCAAACTGATTAAAATATGTTTAAAATTTATTTATTAGCTTCTTTATTCATATCCGCAGATATGTATGTGCATTACATTTTGGTAAAAAAGAAACCATATCACAACTGAAAATTGGTCAATTTTTGATGTGCCTTGTTTTAATAACAAATATAGTAAATGAAGAAACACGGTATTAGAGCATTAAAATGTCTCCAAATATTTTAAATGTCATTAAATGTAACATATTGGTCTTCATTTTGAGTGTTTAAAAAACTTAAAAAAAGAAAACTATACATCCCAATTGTACCCAATAATTTTTTGCAAAATGAAACACCAATTAGTTCCTCAGTTATTGAACGAAATAATGTTGAAAATGATATTTGCTTTACTATTAACAATGGAACTATAATATTTGTAATAATTTTCCCATACACAAGAAGGTAACTGGGATAAAAGAAATAGGTAATTGTTTTATTTAAAAGTAAACCAACTCCCATATGCAGGCAAACGAAATCAATTTAAGAATTTAGGATTTAGGAATTACATATAAAATTTCTTATTTATAGAAAATTACCTACAACTTAAGCAACAATGGATGCATATAAATGTAAAGAACTCAACAATTACCTTACTAGATGAAACTATACATGTACCTACTTATTTGTATCCTCAGTTCTACACTTCGTATTAATTTATCTAAAATAGTTTCCATCTTCATATACGGCAATTTTCACATCCATTTATTAGGTCTAAATAGCCGATTGCATTTGGAGAATTTAAGATCATTACAATTTAGTGTGTATATATGTCATATGTCCATACTTCTACTTAGTACTTACATCTCAAGTCTCGTCCCATAAATATCAAAATTATGTGTGATTTTACTGTACTATTCTATTTCCAAAAAATTATCCAAATGTCGAGGAAAACAATTCCCAATTCTTTAGATAACAGTAGTAGGTATTAGATATAAAGATTAGTAACTATTTTAGACATGGTTTAAGTGAAAAGAAATCAATGTAACACTTTCCTAACTTTATGGTAATGCCTTCGGAAACGGTAGTCGGTACCTTGTTTCTAACGCGCTTATCTCAATTTATACAAATTTCGAATGGAATTCTGATAAGAGAGAAATCCTGGCTGTCTCGTTCAACCTGCATCTCGCATAGGAAATCGGAATTAATTGGTATAATGTAAATTAATACGGCTATATATCATCGCCTATGGAGAAAAAGAACTATCCTCGAGCTACCTACAACAATCCGAGTTATCTAAACGGCCTCCGTAATGAGTTATACACATCTATATTTTAATAATGCGGATAGGCATTTCAACTATCGTTTAATTTTTCATTAATTGGAAACACGATGACGATCATTTAACTAGTTTCTAAAGAATTTCCTTATAATTCACGCTTGGACAGGACGCTTAATATCTACTGTGAATTTTCGAAGTTGTAATTTATAACAGCCGTAAATTATGTCTCTGGGAGAGTTAATATACAGAAATATATTAGCGCCAAACGGAATTTACAACCAAAATATAATGATTAAGGTCAAAAGACGGTATTTTTAGTTTAATCCGCATTTAAATTATTTTTAAGTGGTTCACGTTCACTGTCAATGTCAAATTAAGACAGAATGTGGTTGATGGTCTTTTTTTGAGTGGGGGAGCTAATTTTAGAGGTCACCAAAAAAATAACCAAATTTTATTAATGCGATTAGTGACATTAATTTAAGCACAATTTGAAATAGAAAATGCAAATAAAAAAAATTTGAAGAGAACATTTAATAATAATTGTAAGTACTACTGTTAATTATTTATATAGTGAAAACGCAAAAATGTAAAAGTACACTAGTAGGGTTCGATATTGACATTGGATGCTCTAGATCAGTGGTTCTAGGACCCCTAGGGGTCCGCCATCTCCTCCTAACTAATTAAGAAAATGCCCTCTCTTCTGTCAGGGTGTAACTTAGAAATAATATTTCAAACCCATTTAAATTGGGACTTGGTTACTTGGTTACTCCAAGTAACAGTCCCTAACAACAAAACAATTGTCTCCTTGTCTTTGCATCAGTTGCAATTAAAAAAGGGCAAAGCATATCTAGAGGCAATACCGAACGCTGTTACTGATACACTGATAGGTATTATTCTAAAAATGGTAATTCAAATTTTCCAGATATTGATTTTGTTTTTAGATGTGGAAATTAATTTTAACACGTGCTGTGGAATTTTCAGAGACAATCTATGAATAATACAAATTAAGGGTTGCGCCACATGCTTCAAGCGTTGTGGTAGAATGCGTGGACCATCGTTTTAGTGGGTAGGTAAATAGGTGAACGTGGCCAAATTGAGTGGCATGCTGGAGCGCCAGTTCCTAATCCACTAGATTATTAGGTACTTCTATGGTCTATGGTGACATAAAACAAATGGTTTATTCAAAATATATGAACAATGAAGAACAGATAGAAAACAAAATTATAAGAGTTTCACATCAAATTCAAATTAATCAAGATTTTGCTGCACTTAGTAATTCATTGCTCCACCATTGCCATTCATGCATCGAGGCTAGCGGTGGACTATTCAAACAACCTTTTTGTAATACCTTTACAATGAGTAAACGATTTACATGATTTACTATTACATTTTGTAAAATTTTAAATTTATCTTGCAATGCAAACGCACCTTAACAGCGCTGCGTACAAAGTTACATATTTCGACGTCACTATTCAGTGTTCACCATAATAAATCTTTTTATAATTTATTGTTGTCCATAACTTAGTGGTTCTAGTGTGCACTTAAGATAACATAAGTACTTTGTTCACACGTGTACCAACTATTATTACAATCACATACTAAACACTTAAGGCCATTAAATCGAATTTTTAAGTAGCCTGTCGACCAAGCATTAATTAAAATTAACTTTATGCGTACATTGGGTATAAGACAATAATATATGCTCTGTATCTAATTCGTATAAACTATTGTGAAATTTAATATACTATAGATAATGATTATATTTTTGCTTTACCTCAATTAATTGTTAAAAAAATAATCTCCAAACTTTCAGTCCTGAATTGGCAACTTCTTTAAAAACTTACATCTAGTATTCTCATTTTATTTTTCCACATTTGTATTCTACAAACAATGTATGACTACTAACACCGTTTTCAACGACTGTGTCAGTTTTAGTGGCTTCAGCTAACGTCACGATATTTACTTGCGAAAGAACAAGAATATATTATATAGGTACCTTTAGGTTACTGTATATATTGTGAATATTTCAATTAATTCTATTTTAGATACATGAATGGTGTAGAATATTGAAACGACAAAGAGCGATATAATAAATCATTGCCTAAGACCAATATACAGGGTCGGAAAGTCCCCATGGTTCATCATCCGTTACGTGAGGGCGATAAAGTAAGTCATAGAAATCCGTGGGATAGAGAAAGACGGCTATAATGAAGGCGTCTAATAGTCACCGCCCATTTCGCACTTCCACAAATAAAAAGTGGATCTTATTTGTGGAAGGGCGAAATGGGCGGTGACTATTAGACGCTTTCATTATAGCCATTTTTATCTATTGCACGGATTTCTATGACTTTCTTTATCGCTCTCACGTAACGGCCGATGAACCATGGGGACTTTCCGACCCTGTATGTACTTTTAAATACGCCCGTATATGTTATGTGTAAAAATTTGAATTTGATATGCGACACTTGTGGCATTAATGTTAGTACCATCTGACAAATCATCAATTCTGTGCCAATATTGTAACCATATACACATTTAATACTTTTTTATATTTTTTTATTTCTTTAGGATTGAGAATTTTTGACATATTCTTTTCTTTATTTAGGTATATTCATCCTGTAACTGTATTTATAATATGTTGGACAATAAACGTGTTATCATTATTATCATTAGATAGCATAGCTTAGTTATAGAACTATACTAGGTGATTCACAACTTATCCAAAAAAATTTGGGAATAGATGCGGCATGAAAAATGGAATCAATATCGTCAAGAAAATTTTTGTAAAACCCTTATAGTATCTGAGAAAAAAATTATTGAAGTTGTAGTATTTTAAAGTCTTACATAGCTGGGCTACTATAGTCTCTAGCGTCATTCGCGCTCTCTCTCTCTCTCTTTCTCCACGTGGCCTCAGGCAATTCCGAATACTGAAATCCGACTTTTTAGTAGGTAGGTATTACATTACTTTTTAAGTGTCAAAAATGAGTTAAATGTACAGCAACTCGGAGTTAATGGATATTGTTTTAATTTATGGTGAAACAAGACAACATTTTTGTTATGGTGAAGCAAGATAACATTTGTGTTAGTTCGTAGAAACTAAGACGGGTCCAAATGTGTTTACACATCGGTGAACAAAATAACACACACGAAGAGGAGCAATGAAACGCAACCACCCCTCCAACGACCAAGAAGAGATTAAACTCCGGGATGTTCTGCTCGAGAAGCAGCAGTTATCTGGCGGGCCTTCGGCATCGGCACAAGTGAGAATTTGAGCTACTAGTATTTCAGTGGTGCCGATCTGATGATTTCTGCTGTTTTAGTACTATCTGAGT